GCACTATTTAAGCCATACCTATATGGCAAACTAACAAATGGACAGTGGAAATTTTGTGATAATTATAATTACAGTTTATTTTTTTCATTGGGTATCTGGAGAGAAAACTTCTTGGAGGAAGACTCAATACAGCATATTTCATCCCCTTACTTGAAGCTAGTTTGTAGATGAGAGCTTACACAGAATGATTTAGAATTCTTCCTTAAACAGATCGAGTTTTATAAATGTTTTCTTCTAAAAATCTCTGGAAAATTATTAACCTCAGAATCACAAAACCTACATTCCAGCCCAAGCTCTTGAACCAGGACGCTATGAGAAACTAGTTAAGCAATTTGATCTGTCCTAATATCTACTTTTAAGGACCTCTGGTAGTGTAGTAGTTATGGGTTGGGCTGATAACCTCAAAGTCTGCAATTTGAAACTACCAGCTGTTATGTAGGAGAAACATGAGGCTTTCTGCTCCCGTAAAGACTTACAGCTTTGGAAATCCTACGAAGGGTCGCTATGAGTTGGAATTGACTCCATGGCACGGCACTGTAGGAAAAGCACTGAATTGGTAACTGCTAGGTTGTTGTTTAAAACTTACCAGCTACTCCTCAGAAACCCTATACAAGGTTGCTATGAGTCAGAACCAGTTTAACAGGACTTAACAACAACTAAGGAAGATCGTAGAAGAATTGATGCCTTTGAGTTGTGGTGTTGGAGGAGAATACTAAAAGTGCCATGGACTGCCAAAAGAACCAATAGATCTGTTTTGGAAGAAGTACAGCCAGAGTGCTCCTTGGAGGCCAGGATGGCTAAGCTTCGTCTCTCATACTTTGGACATATTGTCCGGAGGAAACAATCATTGGAGAAGGATGTCATGCTGGGTAAGGTGGAGGGTCAGAGAAAAAGAGGAAGACCTCTAACGAGATGGATTGGCCAGGTGGCATCATTGATGGACTCAAATGTGGCAGCGGTAGTGAGGTTGGCCCAGGATCGGACATTGTTTCGTTCTGCTGTGCATGGGGTCGCTATGAGTCGGTTCCTACTCGATGGCACCTGACAACAATAACAACAACAACAACAACTAAAGTTATACAATGAGAAAGCTGAACGATGTATCTCTGAACTCTCAGCTCAAACTAAAAAAACAATCCTGTTGCTGCCAATAAAGATTTATAGCCTCGGAAGCCCTACACAGGGTTGCTGAGTCGGAACCCACTCCACGGCACATAACCACCACCACCTGCTCCTTTCAGTCCAAGCAAGAAGTGATGTGCTGATATAGTTTTAAGAATCTTGTGGGCTGTGTGAAAATTTTATAGAGGTTCACTCCATTAAACTAAGGCTATGCCACAAATCTTTACTCAAGATAATCCCTTTTCGATTTTTAACTTCTGCTTAGATGGGGGAGGGAGAATTCTCTCAAGTGCCCTTCAGGCTCTAAGGTTTAAGATGGTCTATGAGGAATGCCCTTAATTTGCAGGAAGAGTCTTTTGAATGACTGAATACTGACCTTCTGTTCTTTTCCAGGTTTCATGAAAAGCTATAAAGACACACCCTCAACCTTTCCTCAGTTATCAGTTTTCAGCACAAATTTAAAAAAATTAGCATCTTTTACCACCACCTGAGAAGGCTAAGAATTTCTCACCTCATTAAAACCTGGTTCTTCTTTCTTTCTTTTAAGTTTTTCTCTCAATGTATTTATTACTTCTTGCTTTTCACTGTAAGCAGCAAGAATAAATCAGCTTGAACACTTTGCTCAGGTAAATATGCAAGTTTGTCATTTACAAATTCTGCTTTCTACCTAACTTCCAGAGACAATTATACGAAGTTTCCTGATACTACATAACAAAGATTCCCTTTCCTCTAATTCCCCATAATGATAATGATAATAATTAGAATATACGTTTAAACTATACTTTTCACATATGAGAGGACTTTAAAAAGTCCGTGGGAAAATGGAATTGAAAGAGAATGGAATTTTTCCTTGAATTTTTTTTAAGTCCCTTCATGAACATGTATGTGTGCCACTGAATTGATTCTGACACAGAATCTGAACAGGGTTCTGAGACTTTAAATATTTATGGCACAAAAAGCCCCAACTCTCTTATGCAGAGCATCTGGTGGATCTGAACTACTGACCTTTCAGTGTGCAGGCTAGTAAGTAACCCACTACGCTACAAGAGATTCTTGTATATATTGTTGTTGCTCTTAAGTGCCATCAAATCAATTCCAACTCATAGGGACCCTACTTAGGATTCCCAAGGAGCAACTGGTGGGTTTGAACCACCAACCTGTGATTAGCAGTCCAATGTTTATCCTACAGTGCTATACCAGGAGAATTGCTACTAAGGTTCCACTCAATGGTACATAACCACAATGAAAGTCCAGTTCTTATATGAATGACTTTATTCCAAACAACTTGTTTAAATTTCTCCCTGCAATCAATGGATGGCTGCAGATAAGTTCTTTTAGTAATACACTTGTCTTCGTCTCATTAGAGTGCCCTTCAAAAAAAAGAAAGGTCTCACCTAAACAGTAGCTTCCAAGGAGATCTACTGGACCAGTTAAATTGAAGATAGAAAGCTCAGAAACATTATGGTGACTGTTTTTTTTTTTTTTTTTTAAATTTAAAAAAAAGGACAATTTTGATAGATTATCTCAGAGGATACAGGATGATCATGGGGTTTTCTTGGGAAGAATTTTTAAGAAAACAGAAAACTGTATTGGTGAGGAAAAGGCCAGGAAGGTTGAGACAAGAAAAAAAATTCCATTTATTTATTCTTTGAGGGTAGTAAAGGTTGTCCTGAGAATTTCATTGGGAAACATTACCCTATAGCCCCTGCACATATTTTTTTTGCCCCTGCACATATTTTTTCAATAACATAAATGGCGACTGCCCACCTGGGCCTTGCCAAATGGAATACAAAGGAATCAAATTGATTACATCTGTGGGAAGCGATGATCAAAATGTGCAATACCAATACCAACAGGAGTAACAAAGCCAGGGGCCCACTGTGGAATAAACCATCAATTGTTCATATGCAAGTACAGGCTGAAGCTGAAGAAAATTAAAATACCATATAGAATATATGTATTCTATCAGTCTTATTTTTCTATGACAAAAACAGAATTAAGATAGTTAACTTCATAATCATCGTGTGCTGAGTTGTTGTTGGCACAGAAACCTAAAAGTATGGAGGCAATGATAGTTTGATGAGGGGGACTTAATTAAACACAGGTATAGAATTTAAGAAATGGCTTCAGTGTTTCTCTGCAATTCTGTGAGAGCAGAAGACGGAAAGCTTCATTCAGTCCTAACCTTTGCACTTTAGAAACTATTTATCTAGCACCTTTTAACTTTTGGTGACTACTCCTCAGATATTTATCATACTGGTTGGCAAAACAGTTTACAAAATCAATGACTATAAATCAGCCTATACAATGGAAATGCATATAAACAGGGGGTTATTTGGTTTGACAAGAGATAAAATTATGGTATTTTTTAATGAGAGATAAAATTGTGGTAATTTTCTATGGCTGAATTCCTTTGTGAAATGAATACAATAAATATAGAATTGGAAACACATAATTTGAAGTAAACAGGATGATGTAAGATACATACCGCTTGATGCTGTGGCCAGGTCCTTCTAATTTAAATCACAATCACTTCGATACAAGGCTGTGCTTCCCACAGATTAACTAGTGATCACTCAGACCAAATACTAACAACACTTTAAAATCATATTAAAAATCGTAGAATACTTACTATATGACAAAAATTTGCTCCTCCCCTCCTGAAATGTTACCTACAACTTTTAATTTTTCATACCGTTGAAAAACTACAGATGTCATTTTTCAAAAATTCTTTTTAAAAAAGCAGTTATCTAAAGTGGCAATTCTAAAAATTAAAAATCATAGCAAGTTATCAAGTCGCCAAAGGCTAATAATTGTATCTTACGAACTAACATGGCTACATTATGTTTACTACCACCTTTTGATTTTAAACATGCAAAAATCACCTGGCTAAAACCGTAAGGGGCCACGATAAATTAAGTTTCCACAGACTTTAATTGATACTTTTAATTTTATCAATTAAATGAGAATTTAACCTTGGACTAACGCATTTAAAAATAACGCTAATATAGAATATTTTATCCTCATTTAAAAATGTCTACTACAAAATCTATATACTTATATTACTAAAATAATTTTTATTCAATGTAACAGAGAGAATAAATACAGCTCTTAACTTATACTTCAATCATATCACGGATTTTCTCATAAATCATTATGTGGCAATAATATACCTCCCTTATTTAAATAAATGGTGCGGACTTTTCCTCCTCTGATTTGCGCTGCTTTGTGGGACTTTAACCACAAATATGGACAGAGACAGAGAAACTTGTTTGTGATTATAATCTGGAGGAAAAGAAAACAGGGCGCGGGGGGAGAACCATCTCAAAGTACTAAGGTTAAGAATTCTCCCAGAAATACTTCAAAATTTGAAAAAGGGTGTTAAGTATAATAAGGTTGGGTTATTTTTGAACCTTTAAAATAATTTCATAGCAGGCCTGGAAAAATAATCAGATATTCTTTAAGAGCAAGTAATTTTTAAATGTGGCATTAGGATATGTGACTAGATGGTTCTTAATGTAGTACCTACTTTTAACCTGTAAAGAAAACGAATAAATTCTATAAGGAATTTAGATGACAACACAAACGTCTAGTAAATGTTGAACACAGAACAAATGTGTAAGACCCCAGGCCAGAATCTGTGAAGGTTAAAACAGAATGCATAAATAAATGGCATATCACCTTCAAGGGCAACTTTTCTAGATGAGAAATAATTATACCTACCTATCCAGGGCTTAGAAAGTTTGAAAAGGCATTGTTACTATGTAAAAAAAAAAAATAGACTGGGAAAGTTATTGGACTGATTGTAGGTTAAAAGACTGTGTAGATGATATGCCATGAACACAAACTGTATGCAGGCTATTTGATGAGATACTCACAGAATGATTGTAAGAAGGTTCCAGTATCACAGGTAATGACATTTTCCCTTGAAGATTCAATTTTGTTAAATAAAAAATCTTTTCCCCTACAATTTTCTCTTTTTTCATGCGATGTACACCATACAGTCTAAACCGAACTGCATAATTTCCAATCATCTCAGATTCAACATGATTAAATTTGAATGTTTCTGTGAAGACAGGGCATGGTCCTCTCTGGATGCTGGTTTTTGCTCTCTGTTTCTTTATAGGTAGAAGAACAAGGTGTACTTGCCATGAGTTGCCACCTGTCCTGTTATATGCTGGGATGTCTGTGACAGCTGTCACTGTTACCAGAAGCTTCTGTTCTTGTGAGTCATAGTCAAAAGTCACATCCAGGGTGCCATATTTAGCTTCTGGCTCGGGATCAAAAGGTTTAGGAAGCTGTGCAGATGATCCTTGAGCTGACATATCCTAAGAAAAGAAAATTTAAATATTTTCCATTCTAACACTATTATTTGATGTAGCACACAAATAAATACCTGGTATTTCTTTAGGAGGGTCATGGGGAAACAATTTTGACTTACTTCTACAGACAAATTAATAGTTTGCTATCATCAAAAGCTGTATCTCTAAAGGGACAAAGAGGTTTAAACAATGTAAACTTAAAAATTGAGTGAAATAAAGACACATTTATAATTTAATAGTCACCTTCACAATGTTGAGAAAGTTGGGTATATATTTTTATAATTGAAAAGATATACTCTAAAGTGTATCTGTTTCTTTTATAGGGAACCACTACATTTTAATTTCAACATTATAAACACTGCATTTGATAACTTAATATTTGGTTAGAGAGAAAGAAATAAAGTAAAATTACAATACTGCTAAAAATTGTGTTTCTATTTTTAGGGTTTGTCCTAAAATGCCCCATCTGTAATAGAATGTAACTACCTTAGGACTTAAAAAAATCACTGGAAATATAAAATACAAATGTATAAATATGAAACCCTCAACATGCTCTTGCCGTTAAGTGTTGTCTAGTCAAATTTGACTCATAGCCACCCTGTATAGGGTTTCCAAGGAGCGGCTAGTGGGTTTGAACCACCGACCCTGAGGTTCACATCAACTTTGTGGTCTAGCAATGCCACACAAGGACTCCCAAACTCTCAACATAGGTGTAGCCAAGTAATTATTTCCTACAACACAGAACTTATTCAAGTTTTAACCAGAATTCACAATAGTCATATTAATTATTGCTGTACATGAGAAATGCATATTATTATAAAAGCTTGGAAAGACTGCAGCTATACATTTTAATTATGGGATTAAAAGAAACTGTATCCCTTTTTCCTGCAACTGTCTCACTCCAACTGTCTGGAACATAATGGGGTTTTAGATAGTTACTGGATCTCTTACTTTTCAACTATACTGCTTTGCCTCTTCAAGAATTTTAATAAATATTAATATTTGTCATTTTAAAATATGACCAATTTTTAAAGTTTGACCATCATTCATTAATTTAAAATTTTTTTATTTACTGTCTATTATGGCATTGGTTACTACTGACCCCAGTATCCTCTCTTCAACCATTAGGTCAACAGAACACCCTCAGTGTTAGTTGGAAACACAGCGCCTAGCAAGGAACTTCCCAGTCTCCCTGATCACTGACATGCCCAAATGACTCTACTCTGGCCAATGTGAAGGAAACAAAAGTTATGTGTGACTTTTTACAAAGAAATTGCTTGCCACCCACTCTTTCCACCAGCAGGTACATAGACTAGATGGTGTGGGTCATCTTGAGACCACATCCTAGGGCAAGGCAAAGAGACATAAAAGAAAGAACTGAGCCCTCAAATGATACTGGAGAATAAAGATGCCTATTTACCTGCTCATCGTGGACTGTTGTTAAATGAAAGAGAAATAAACTTCTGTGTTTTTTAGCCACTGTATTTGTTATAATAGATTAACATGTATCCTAGCTATTACTCCTGGTATGTTCTAGGTGCAATTTTAGATGAGGGATACAGTAGAGCATAAAATTGAACCTCATAAAATTTACCTACTAAATCTATGGTAACCCACTTAGTATCGGATATAGAAAATAATCACAAATGAAAAACACTACTTGGGGAGAGAAGAAAAAAAATATATAGAAGAATTTAGAGTTTTTAATGCAGCATGATTAATCAGATAAACATACTCATTTTATAAAAAGAACAAAATACAAAATAACCCAACAACAACAAAACAACCCCAAACCAAAACCAACCCTTACATTTTAAAGCAAAATTTGTAGTTCCGTTCATAATTGATAATTAAAATGTTTAATATTGTTACTGTTGTTATGTGCCTTTGAGTTGGTTCTGATTCATAGCAACCTTATGCACAATAGAACAAAACACTGCCTGGTCTTGCACCATTCTCATAATTGTTCTTAAGCTTGAGCTCATTGCTACTGCCACTGTGCTAATCCATCTTGTTGGGGGTCTTCTTTTTTGCTTACTTTCCACTTTATCCCGCATGATGTCTGTCTTTAGGGACTGCCCCTCCTGATAATGTACAAAGTATGAGGGAGGAAGTCTTGCCATTCTGGCTTCTAAGGGGCATTCTGATTGTACTTATTCCAACACAGATTAGTTTGTCCTTCTCGCAGTCTATGGTACTTTTAATATTCTTCTCCAACACCATAACTCAAATGCATCAATTCTTCTATGGTCTTGCTTGTTCACTGACTTCCACATGCATATAAAGCTATGCTTGGGTCAGGCGCAACTTAGTCCTCAAACTAAGGACTAAGCTTGGGTCAAGCGCAACTTAGTTCTCAAACTGATATCTTTGCTTTCAACACTTTAAAGAGGTCTTGGTGCAGCAGATTTGCCTAATATGATATATTGTTTGATTTCTTGACTGATGCTTCAATGAACTGATATAGTGCATTCAAGCAAAAAGAAGTCTCTGACAACTTTAACTTGTTTCCCCCTTTGTCATGATGTTATTGATCCAGTGGTGAAGATTTTTGTTTTGATTACACTGAAGTGCAACCCATACTGTAGGCTATAGTCTTAGATCTTCATCAGGAAGTATTTTAAGTCCTCTTTGCTTCCAGCAAGCAAAGTTGTAGTATCATCTTCATACCATTGGTTGTTAATGAGTCTTCCTCCAATCCTGATACCACATTCTTCTTAATATAATCCAGTTTAGCAGGTTATTTGCTCAGCATACAGACTGAATAAATATAGTGAAAAAATACAACCCTAGCATACACCTTTCCTAATTTTAAACCATTCAGCCAGTGTTACCATGTTCTGTTCAAACAACTGCCTCTTGGTCTATATACAGGTTCCTCATTAAGTGTTCCGGAATACTCATTTTTTTCAATATTGCCCATAGTTTGTCATGATCCACACAATCAAAGGCCTTTGCATAGTCAATAAAGCACAAGAAAACATCTTTCTGGTATTCTCTACTTTCGGCCATGATCCATCTGAAGTCAGCAATGATATTCCTCATTCCATGCCGTATTCTGAATTTGACTTGAACCTCTGATGGTTGCCTGCCAATGTACTGTTGCAGCCATTTTTTTTCTGAATCACTAGCAAAATTTTACTTTGATGTGATATTAATGACATTGTCCAATAATTTCTGCTTTCTGTTGGGTCACCTCTCTTTGAAATGGGCACAAATATGGAACTTTTCCAATTAGTTGGCCAGGTAGCTGTCTTCCAAATTTCTTGGCACAGATGACTGAATGCCTCCAGTGCCACATCAGTTTGTTGAAAGATTTGAATTTATATTCCATCAATTCCTGGAGCCTTGTTCTTTTCCAATGCCTTCAGTGCACCTTGGACTTCTTCCTTTAGTACTGTTGGCTCTTGTTCAAATGCTACTTCTTGAAATGGTTAAACATTGACCATTTCTTTTTGGTATAGTAACTGTGCATATCCCTTGAATCTTCTTTTGATGTTGTTTGCATCATTCAATATTTTGTCCTATTTGCTTAATAGAACATCTTATTTAAATCTTTTCTAAAATAGTGAAACAAGGCTAAGGTTTTAAGGCAATACATTTTGTTGTAAAGCCCTAGATGGATATTTCTAAATTTTCTTTCTTTTAGTGCCACCCTAATTTTTTTTCCCCCTGGGCAATCTGATAATTCTTGTGAAACTTGATTTTAAAACCAAACCAAACCACTTGCCGAGTCTATTCCTATTTATAGCAATCCTAGAGAACACACTAGAACTGCCCTATATCGTTTTCAAGGCTATAATATTTACGGAAGCAGACTGTCACAAAACTGCTGAGCTTTCTGTTAACCAAACACTTGAGCACTGAGCCACTAGAGCTTTGGAGGAAAACAATAAAAGTTAACATTTGCATTCCACTGTAGGATAAACTCTGGGCCCCAAGATCAGTTTGAACTGCAGGGTTGGTGGTTCATACTCAGTAGTCACTCCTTGGAAAACCTATACAGGGTCGCTGTAAGTCAGAATCGATTCTAGGGCACTTAACAACAACAACAACATTTACATTTCACAAATAGGCAATACGAAAACAATTCATCCTTTCAAGGTGTCCAAATCAAAGTTTTAAATAATCTTTAGCAGCAGGTCATCAAGAGAGTTTATGAACTCCATGCCACGGATTCTTCTGACCTGTCTCTGTCCTTCCAGTTCAATCACAGATGTGGAGATGCTCCCATATATCCTGGATTAAAGCAAGACTAAGGCAAGAATTTTCTATTTGGTAAATGATGTTCATTATAAAGAAAGAAGGAAGCAAAAGGAATTTTGGAAAACACAGGAATGAATTTTAAAGTAACAGGATATCTACATTCTACATCCCAATACTTATGCAATGTGCATTTGTAGGATTGTTTGAATATATTCATTGTTCCTATAGTAGACTAAAACAGGAGAGAAGAGACTCACATGAACTATTAAAACAGACAGCTCCTTAGTAACCTGTGAAATATGGACAATACCCAGAATACAGTAACTATAGATAATGAGTAAGGAGGTAGCATGTAAGACAATGGCAGAGTTCAGGAGCTGTGTTAAAGATAGATTAGTTGTTGTTAGTGCCATTGAATAGGTTCCAACTCATAGCGACCCTGTATAGGGTTTCAGAGGAGCCACTGGTGGGTTTGAGCTGCTGACCTTGCAGTTCAAATTGAGCTTGCAGTTGAGTGCTTATCCTACAGTATCACACTAGGACTCCAAAGATAGACAGTAACTAAGTTAAAAGTTTGTGAGATGTGCCAAAGATCGATAGAATGAATAGAAAGTCTGATGGAAAGCCCAATCCAGGTCATCTCTGGGCTAACAGCTACGCCGTCCCTGTGTTAAATTTAACAACTACAGATCAAACCTATGTCTGTTCTACTAGGCTAACTGGCAAGTTTCAGTGGTAGCCAAATATCCTTATCCCTAATTCTCTTTTATGGAGCAAATGTGCAGCATTATTGGTCCAAGCCATCCTTGTTGAAATTTCATCATAAATAGGGAAGGATGATGAAGCAAAGAGAGTAAGACAGGACATATGAGCATTGTATACACCAGGATTCATATAATATGGTTCTTCTACCCATTTATACCCTATCCTATTGCATTAACCTTCCTTTTCTTCTCTCCTTACTTCTTGCTTGATATTTGAAGTTGACTCATACACACACACACATCATTCAAGCACCTTAATATAGTCTGTGAGTTTTCTGAGACAGCTTGCCTGGTGGTGTGCTTAGAGGAGGCCACTATATCAAAGTAATGCCTCCCACAATTTAGATCAGAAGCATTGCTAGGCAGACCTGGCTTGAATAATAGTTTCACCATTAAAGAGCTGCTAGTACTTTTGGTAAGGAGCTCTGGTAGCGTAGTGGTTACGAATCGGGCTGTGAACCTTAAGGTCAGCAGTTCGAAACTACCAGCCGCTCCACAGGAGAAAGATGAGGCTTTCTACTCCCATAAAGATTTACACCCTCGGAAACCCTATACAGGGTCGCTATGGGTCGGAACCGACTCGATGTCACTTAACAACAACAACATAGAGTCCTGGCATGACACTGTGGGTTAATGCACTGGACTGAAAGGCAATTTGAACAGCAAGGTTGGCAGTTCACTATTACCAGCTGCTCCCCAGAAACCCTATACAGGATCACTATGGGTCGGAACCTGACTGTACAATACTTAACAACAACAGCAACGGAACTGAGCAGAGGCTCAGTCGGATAAGTACTGGGCTTTGAACACAAGGTTGGTGGTGCAAGTCCACTAGCTGCTTCATGAGAGAAAAATGAGGTTTTCTGCTTCTGTAAAGATTTCAGTCTCAGAAACCCTACACAGGGTCTCTATGAGTTGGAACTGGTTCAATGCCACTTAATAACAACAACAAGTATTTTGGTATATTAGAGTCCTGGTGTGGTGCTGTAGAATAAGCACTGGACTGCTAACCACAAGGTCAGCACTTCAAACCCACCAGTTGCTTCTTGGAAATCCCAGAGACAGTTGCATAGGTTAGAACCGACACAACGACACTAACAACAACAATAACCTAGCTCTCAGTGTCTTGATATTTTCATTTGTAAAATTTAAATACTAGCTTCCTGAAGATGCGATTGCTAGAATTTTTAAAAGCTTCTAGCATAACTCTTAGCACGACTAGTGACAGTTATCACTGTTGTTCTTGCTAATTACAAAATCTAGGCTTCACTTCTAACTTGTTGGCTATCTATATAGTTTGAAAATCTACAAAACAATTGCTCAAATTTGTTCAGCTAGTAAATCACAGAAAAATATTCTTTGTGGAACATCATGAAATACTGATACTTCAGTTCAAATACTGAAGTATCAATGTAGAATTTTCTTCTAGGTCAGACAGAAATACTAGTAACAGATACAGAGTGGTTCCTTCAGTTATAGAAGAAAATCATAAAATTAAGGACATTCCATCCCTAGTTTAACTGTTCTGTATATTGGAAAACTACCTCTATTATTTAATTTCCAGAGTACATCAGACAATTCACCTAATAAGAACACTGGCATGCTTTAATATTATGAAATGTTGGAGACAAAAAAAAAAAGTGAAATTTGAAAGCTAAAACATAAAAGGAAAGTAAATCTTAAAAATAAATACTACTTTATGAAAACCTGTAGGTTACCTTTGTAAAAAAGATTAGAAAAAATCCTTTTTAGCATATGGCAAGACTTCAAAGATGTAGCACAACTATTTTTGTTGTTTGCACAATATTGCTCCAAATAACTACCTTAAAACTCAACCACCAACTACTTTCAATACATGATGAACTGAAATTATTAGTTAATTGATCACCACATATCCCCCTCCATATTCTTGTGTATATGAAAATGCAGTAATATTATTTTGAAAGATCTATGATATAATATTAATGAGTACCCTCCCAACAGTTAAACAAAAATTTTTAACTCACAAACATAAATTATGAAACCAAGATGAAACAACTAGGTAAATAATCTTAGTATTTAAAAAAACAAAAGAAAAGACAAACCTATTGTAAGGTTAAAACCTGAGGGAAGATTATTTTTCAGGCTTCTCTGCTGGTCTCATTTTTAGCTACCCATTTTCCTTTTGTGGGGACTTGAGGACTGGGGCAGTCCTGATAAGTTTGTTGGATACAGATTAGATCAAGGACAAAAACTGGAATGACCGTCACAAAGGACAAGGCAGTGATGAGATCAATTCTTCTTACCAAGAGGAGAAACACAGGGTTATCATCCTCCAAACCACATTCAGTTAAAAGATTCTATGTGCTTTTACTTACTTCAGGACTCAGGACTGCCGTGCTGTCACTTGGAACATCTTCTTCATATCCTTTATTATGAAAACTTTCTATTTCATGACCTGCGCTTCCTTCACTTGGGCACTTGTTATATGAGCATCTTGGACTGTTGCTGCAGTGAGAATAGTCACATTTACTGTCCCCAATTTCTGAGGGTGTACATGAGAGATGGGGAGAACCACTGTCATCCTGATATGGTGGTGGCTGCAATTCATCCAGTGGGGGTGTTCTTCTCATTCTCTGAATGCAGTTTCCTGATAATGATTAAGAATCTTGTCACTGTTTCCAATTAGCCTCACATGCAGTACAGTCTATAATAATTATAAATAACTTAAAAAAAAAAAACTGGATGAAAAACTTTGTGGCAACATGACTATTAGATTTACTAGCATGTTTTCCTCTTCTCTAGTTCAGAAACAAAAATAAAATAATCTGGTTCCCCATCCTTCTCCTTCTGCATAATATGAGTAGGAAAAGGAAATGTCAGATATACTAAAAGATCCTGCTATATACAGCAAAAATGGGAGAAGGACAAGTGTTAGTGAAACAGCTTGTTTATTTGGTTCTCTCTAAGCAGACATACTTTATCATTTATTCCCTTGTGTTCTATGGCCTATTTAGCCGAAGCAATAAAAATATAGTATGTAAAACAGATATAAACACCTCTTTTTTTCCCCCCAGTTACTGAGATAAACTTAAAATAGCATTCAGCTTAACAGGGTCAGAAGCTGTTTTTCTACATCACTGCAAGAACTAGAATCCTAAAATGAGATGCACTGTAAAACAAGCCCTAATCCTTACTTGCCTGCCTCCATCAGTCAGCAAAGACTGAAAGATATGTGTGTTCTCCTGTTTCCACTCCCATTCAATTCTATGTCTAGAACCACATTCCTTTCAAAGCCAGGCTCTATCTTGTTTATAGCAGGCATTTCATTCTCTAATAGTTAGCTGAAATTATATTTTCTTTCACTCTCAAAAATTTTGTTTTTAATTTGTACCTCGATGATTGAGAATCAACATATTTGCAAAAGAGGATGTAAGTGCAAGTGGGAGGTGGATATAAGGAAATAAAGTTCAGTATACAATTTAAAAATAACTAACTCTGTGTATGTAAATCCTGAATGTGATATAAGATATTAAATTTAAACACTGCTAATTTCTTCTGTTAATGGACTGTGTGTTTCCTTTCTCAAAAGAAATTGAAAAAAGGTAGCTTGTATTATAATCCTTATAATAGAGTTCAGTTCAAATATTCAGTAGTTCCTCTGTTCTTCCTAAGAAAAGAAAAACTTTGCACAAGAACTACAGTCTCATTTAAAAACTACCACAATGCCTGGCTCAAAAGAAAAAATATTAATTTGCATGAACTTAGCACAAATTTACATATTTGCTCAGGAGTCACAATTTTGGAAAAATAAAATGAAATGTCATACCTAGTAAATCTAATGTACTAACTCAAGAAAAATTACTGAAGTGGGTTCAAAAGCTCATAGAAAACTCCATTATCTTGTAATTCCATTTTTCCAGGAACTTTTTGGTGTTCCCTTGTATAAGTGAAGCTAAATTAGATAAGAGAAGATAAATAGATACATCACAAGCAGTGGCTAATACAACACAAAATTACAGATGGATATAGAGGCATGTAGTCTTAAGTGATTATCTGATTTTATCCATTTATGTGGGTAGAGGGATAGGTCAGTATGTGGCTGGCAGTTGACTGACTGGCCAAATTCATAACCTCCTTCTTTCCCTAGATTCCAATTTAGGGTGGCCAATGAGAACTAAGCAGAAGATTTCAGAGTGGCGATTCCAGGAAAACTTTTGTTTTCCTGTTAAAAGCAGGCAGACTCAAATAGTATCTCCTTTTGTCTCTTTGTCTTCCCCCTCCTTGACGGGAATTGCAGAAGTCATGTTATAACCATAAAGGGACACGCATGAGATTAAGCTAAGGATGGTGAAGCAGAGGAATAAAGTCAGGATTACAGAAACATCACTGAGCAGCTACTTAAAAACACCTTGATACCTGAGACAAATAAATCTCTATTGTTTTCAAATACATTTGTGAATGATCCAGTTTATAAATCATGAAACCAATATCCCCCGCAACATATTTCAGAGTGTATATTCACCAGACATTGAATTCAATTAAATGGTAATACCTGAGTACTTACTGTAATATGAAGTAATGAAAATTTTCCTAATTTGATACTGGAGTCAGAATACCAGTATTTCCTAGAAGAGAAGTCTCTCAGCAGACTGCCCCACAGACAGAACTGGATCACAAGTCTGTTCTTAAACCCAGTACTGGTAAGGGAAATGGGATTACCATAATTGGCTTAGATTAATCAAAAGTACCAAATTTGAAACTTGGAACATGGCTAGCTCCATTGTTCATACTCTGGAGAAGAAGAGATGCTTGGAAAATGTAAGATGTAGGAAGGACAAAGGTAGGAAAGGTTGGTTAGAAAACCAATGTGATCCAACTCTTGCCTACATTATCTTTAAGGTTGACAATTCCATCTCTGGATTTGTCTCTACACACTATCTTCTCTCTCCATAGTTTTATTCCTCAGTAGATTTTGCATGACAATAACTTTCTCTGAACTTCTTTTTAATATGACCGGTATAATATAATTTCTGTCTCCTAATGATATTATAAGGAGCTCTGGTAGCACAGTGGTTACGAATCGGGCTGTGAACCTTAAGGCCAGCAGTTCGAAACTACCAGCCGCTCTGCGGGAGAAAGATGAGGCATTCTGCTCCCGTAAAGATTTACAGGCTCGGAAACCCTATACAGGGTCGCTATGGGTCAGAACCGACTCAACGGCACTTAACAACAACAACGATATTATGGAGTCCTGGTGTGGTGCTGTGGGTTAATGCTCCAGACTGCAAAGCCTTTTGAACTGCAAGGTTGGTGGTTCAAGCTCACCAGATGCTCCTTGGAAACCCTATACAGGGTGGCTATGGGTCAGAATCAACTCGACAGCACTTAACAACAATGATACTATGCCTTATTTTCACTGGTTGACTTTGTTACATATTAGTTTATATTGCTAGTCAACTGAGGTATTTACACAGCTGAACTCCAATCATTTGGCTTTTGTTTAGATTTAGTGTTAACTATTTCAGAAACCAAGGAACAACTAATCTAAAAAAAGTGTGGTGATAAAGGTAGACAGACCTCATTACTGTTCTCTGGATTTAAGAGAAATGATCTCAAAATTGTAGACTGGATTATACACATTATTTTGTTCATTCCATATCTTCTAAGTTTTGAAAATAATAACACATTATTCTCATCTTTACTTTTGCATTTTATTTCTCTAAGTAAAGAATATGTAAAAATTTCATTAAAAGTATACCATTCATAACCTCACCTTTAAAAAACTGTTTCATGGTACCTAAACATTGGAATAACTAGGTAAACGGGCTTATATTCCATTGATAGTTGGAAGCATTTTAAGGGAGCTGTTTTATAAAGAAACCATTTCTATTATAATTGCTATATTATACTGCAAACTTCAAGCTTAAGAAACTATTTCTAGTGGAACTATCTAACAACAAAATTATTATGCCCTGTCACTACTTTGTTCCTAATTTCATACCCTTATTTTTACAGAAACAACACATCTATAAAAGGATTCATGTATGTAATATTTTAAGCACTTTAATTTACTATCTATGTATTGCATAGCACCTACAGCATAAAACAAAATATCTTCCTGCCCTAGAAAAAGCAGGATGCATGCATACCTGGAATATGACCTGTAGTTATAAACATTAAGTTTTAAGTTAGTGGTTTTCAAACTGCGGCTCAACCACTGCAGAATATATTTTTCTTTCCAAATGTCTGTGGAAATTTACCAAAATTAAGATAGTAGGCAATACATTATTGGCTCAACACATTTCAAAACACTAGAAGTGTACATTAGATATTTTCTGGCCATAGTGAAATTAAACCAGATATCAGAAACAGAAATGTAAGTTGGAAATCTAGTCAGAAAAACTAGAAACTAAAACATTGTCCTATAAACCATGGATCAAAAGAGAAATTACAATAGAAATTAGAAAATGTGCTAAAGAGAATAATAATAAAAAGAACCCATATAAATATATGTGGAATGCAGCTAAAGCTGTGTTTAGAAGGATATTTGTGGGTCTAAGTGCCAATGTTTAGAAAAAAGGCTGAAAATCAATGATAAACACCTTAATCATTTATCTCAGGAATAATAAAGAACAGAAATTAAACAGAAAACACACATACAATAGGAAGCATCAGAAAGCAAAATAAAATTCATTGAAAACACTAATAAAAATTGATAGGCTGCTAGAAGAAACTGGTCAAGAAGAAAAAGATATGGCAAACATCAACTGTTGTTATTGTTGAGTGCCGTCAAGTTAGTTCCGACTCATAGTGACCCTGTATAGGGTTTCCAAGGAGTGGCTGGTGACTTTGAAACACCAACCTTGTGGTTCAAACTGATGTTGCAGTCCACTGTTCTTTCCCACAGCACCAAAAGACACATCATTTTAAATACTGTAGACATTAAAAAGCTAACGAGCTTTCCCTTTGTCCTACTCTTTCTGAAAATTTCAGCACCTAAGATGGTGTGGTGCTACAGGTTAATGTGCTGGACTGCAAGGTTGGAAGTTCAAGCTCACCAGTCACTCCTTGGAAATCCTATACAGGGTTGCTATGAGTCAAAACCAACTCAACAGCACTTAACAATAACAACAAATCTTTCATTGGAGCAGAGGAAGGTATAAGTCTGCGCTGGTGTTGGCAAGGGATGCTGTAGTGACCTAGATGGATACGTCAGAGCCCAAGTCGTATGAAGGTGTCACACACATGTAGAGAAGGCCCACTGTGCTGTTTTCTGGCCCAAGTGAAATAAGAAGAGTGTTTGTATCCATGTGGAGGTGTGCAGCCCAGCATACAGTATAAGTGACCAAATGAGTGAGGAGGACTTCATTTCAGGAAGTGACCAGGAGTGAAGGGTGGAGCTGGAGCAGGTGAGGAGAGCATCCAGCACATAGTGTGCTGGAGCCAGAGCAGAATAAAGAAAGGTAAGTATGGGGCTCAAGAGGATAAAGAGAATTTCCCAATGGAACAGCAGCCTGGCCTGGGACAACAGAGTCCAAGTAAGATCAGCATTTCCACATTGAGGGAAAAGGAGAAGCCTGGCAAGTGGAGTTGGAGTGTAAGGATCTAGCCATGGAGGGATGATGGGTACAGGTTGTCAAAGTCCAG